ACTACACATTCCCGTATCTATCATGTCCTGCTGTGCTGCGATGATTCCATGCCAGAAAAATTGTATCTCAATATGCATGTGGTCCATAACACATCCAGCTGCTGCACTACATAACATGATCTGTATATATGGAAGTAATTGATATCTTTAAAAAAAAAATCTATTATAAAATCAGACCATTGAAATGACTCACACAAGTTGTACTGTTGTTTGCAGTCCAAAAGAGACTAAATAACCCAGAGTACTAAACAAAAACATACATATAGCGTCTTGATCCAACACAACCACCAAGCTATTTCTTAGATGTCCATTAAATCCACTGTTAAGTTCTGCTACAGAGGTTTTTGACCACAGACAAGTTAATTGTGAGGTTTGCTATAAATCAGTACATTGAAAACACAGAAGTTAAGCTGCATGTAAATACAGGTACTGCACTGAGGCACAAACAGTAGCAGCTCAGGTGTGACCTCCTAAAACCGAGTACCCTTTCAGAGATAGCAGGCACCTCTTTTGTTCAAGTAAGTTACTAAGATCTTCCCAATGCTGGTTATGCAGCTTTTCCAATATGTTAAGTTACCAGAACATTTAAATTGTTGGTATTAAAAATGTGGACATTAAGGAAGAAAAAAATTCCTTTTCTTCTCTAGGGATACATTGAGGCAGTCCATACCAAAGTATATCTTTAACTTCAGGCAATATCCTAGAATAGTAATGTAGATTACTTAGAAAAATATACCAACTAGAACTGAGGAACAGAAAAGTTTTGATGCAATAGTTAATTAATGACACAGCAAGACCAAAACCATTAGCTTAACACACATAAGACTACCTGCTGATATTACAGGTCTGTCCAGCATGCTGGCCCCAGCAAAATTAAATCTTCAGAAACCTGGAAAGTACTATGATGTACCCCACAAACGCCCACACCTTTAACGCTACTCTCTTGAAGCAATATCTTTAGTAAGCCCATAATATTCTTTCCTTGTGCCTTTGAGAAGTATATTAAACCTGTCTCCCTTGTATACTGAACATTTGTCAGTCCTGCTTGCACTCACATGCCCTAGAAAGAGGGGTAAGCATTTCTTCCTAAAAGCCAACCAGGTTTTTCAAACACTTCTCCAAGTCTGGACATTATGCATTAATAATGCAAAAAATATCATGTGGCCATATGATTATTTCACTTTATTGTGAAATAAAGTCACAAGATGTAGACTTCCCCATCCAGAGAGATTAGGACCACCTACCAGGCAGCCCATTTTCGCAACCAGATGTAGTGCACACATCAATTATTTTTCCTCATTTCAAGGGTTTAGATTTGGATTACCCTAAGGGCCTCTCCACACTGCAATTAATCAGAGAGAAGCAGAGAAGAATAAAAAGGGGATACTGGTCTTGGATCCTTCTGGGACAACAGATCTCCTGTGAAATCTATCAAGAATGATAAGCCTTACCCCCTTTGACTCCACACTAGCAGCCATCAGGCTCTTCTGTGCAGAAAAAAAAACTGCATGCAGGGGAACTCAGGCTCCGGATGGCCATGCCAAGCACCAGACCAGTCCTTATCTGTAAAACTGCCTTGTTTTTTTCTTGGTTACAAGAAAGGACATAACTGATCAAGATCTTCTGGCACTTGAGTATAGATGACCCTCCAGGATGTCACAAAGGCAAAAACAAATAGCAGCAATGACAGACAAACAACCACAGTAAGACACACAGAAAGAAATTCTTATGAGCAACTTACAGCTCCTACCAAGGATTCCACTTTTAACGTCACTTTTTCACATAAGCTGCACAACACTAATGGCAACTACAACAATGCAAATCAAATGTACATGGAATAAAAAGAGTCTGTCAGACATGTAGTGCATGCTATGGAAACATTTAAAAAACTCAAAAGCCAGAAATTAAGAGTCAGTATATGAAATCAGGTTTTGCCTCTGGAACTATGAGCTACATTTCCATTTAAAAAGGAAACAAGCTGGCAAAGAAAACCCTTAAATACTGCTTTTCAGAACAGAACTCTAAAAAGATTCGAAAAAGAAGCTTCAATTGTCATTCCACATTAAGCAGCCATGCCAATGAAGTAGGCGTAGCCCTTCTCCCACACACCTTCCTAATCTGCTTGTTCCCATCACGGTGATGCTTGTAGCTGCCCATTGCATCAGACAGTGACCAAGCTGAAGAAACAAACCAGCTGTGAAACAAGGTGCTAAAAGCCGGGGTGAGGAGGGGCTGTATTATTCTGGCAGATCACTTCCCTGATCCATTTCACTGTGCAGCTGCACAAACAGCTGAACTAGCAAAACAAACAGGATAATATAAGGATACAAATAACCAGTATCTGCTCAAGACATCAGTGCTGCTGAAGAAATGTACTTGGACTTGCAACCTAAACGAAAACCATTCCCTTAAAAAGGTACCTATAGATTTTGTTCAGTTCAATAAAAAATTCTTAGCTAACCAGTTGAGCAAACACAGGACAGAATACAGTTGAAGCCATTGCCCCCTAAAATAAACAAAAGTCAACATCAAACCAAAAACAACACAATGGTCACATGGGGGGGAATCTTATTCCATACTTGTTTTCTACACTAATCTGAAATTACCACTAGTTTTTTTTGATTGTTTTTACACTAGGTGCCTTTTCCCTCTGTCCAGTATTTACTCTTACAACACTAGTAACTTTCTGTGCAATTCCAGGCAAAGGTTAAATGACACCAGTTTAAACAGGTTTGTCTTCTCAGTGACTTATTCACCTCAGAAATACAAGGTGGACTTCTACTCCCTCTGCATGAACAGTCTGTGAATCAATACTTTGAGTTCTCTTACAGAAGCCTTGCTTTCCTTGCATATAATAGGCCAATACAGAAGGCCATTAATTATTGTTCTCATAATTCGTCAAGATTTGCTCTTTTTTTTTTTCAATGCTGAAAATCACTTCACTAAACATGCATCACTTATGAAGGATGTCCTTACCTTTAGAAAGGTAAATGATAAAACCCGTGCCTGTTTTATCAGTTTTCAAACCACCTCCAGGTGGTCTGTTGATTGTCCAGGAGCCACCAGTTCTCTAGAAATCACTCATTTTTACACTAATACTATAATTTCTGTCTATTATCTATCTCAAGCTGCCTATATTTTCACCATTTATTTTACTGTAAACATTGCTCATACACATACATTACTTGTAGACACAGATATAGTTGGACAGCCAGCTCCATTTAACTCACTGTAATAGAACAATACTAAGACAGTGTATGCATAACACTTACTCAGTATAAGCTGACATAATCACAAAAAATAAAATTTCATCCTTTTTCCCATCTCTCAGTACTCTGTTCCCTTAAGTTGATGAGCATTAGGTGAACCGGAAATTCAGCTGGGGAATTCTATTTGAAAAAATCCAATCCCAAAATGTTGGCCTCAACCTCAATCAATTCCCTGATTTGATTCATCACACAACAGCTTGTTTCACATACAGGAAAGGAAGCACAAGAAATACGCCACCCTGAGTAAAAGGAGATGTCTTTCAGCAGTACTACCTCATGCCAGCTCAACATGTTCCTCAAATGACTACCAAAACTGTATTACCTGCCACTAAGTAGAATAAAAACCCATACCTCAATACTTTATGAAATCTATCACTACAGTCAAGCTGAAATCAAAGATACCTGTACATTGTACACAGGATTTTGTGTAGTCACTGAAAAATTTTCACGTTCTCTCTTAATCTTCCTAATTAGTATTTTTAGAGTCCTGCCCGACTGCCTCCCTCACTTAGATCAGCAAAACCACAACATTCACTTTTAAAGTTACATTTAAATAATTTCAAAATGCTTGCATGTAATATGAACAGCACCCTCTTTAAAGTTTGATAAAGATTTTTTTAAAATTTCATTAATGCCATTAACTAAACATTCAAGTCTGCTTAGTTACGCTATTTGTCAAACTTTTGCAGATAATCGATATATATATACATACTTTCAAAACATTCTCACAGGGAAATGTGCCTGTTTGTAAGTTAATGCCTCCCTTGCAAAATTCAGCGACTGTACAGTCACTGCATATAGCATTAAAAATGCTTCTGTTTTGTTACAGTGCACAGTACTTCTGTTTTGCAGAAGAATAATTTATCTTGAATAAAGATGAACAATCCACTGGTGATCAGCAGATTACAGTGAAGCCAAGCATTTACCTTCTTAAACAGTGGACAGTTCTAAGGGAAAGGTCCTCCTGTACCAAGACAGGCTGTTACCTTTCTCCCTTCCTCACTGTCAGAGCATCACTACTTAACAGCCTGAATCAAACCCTCAATTAATCATTCAAGTAAGGAATTTAACCATCATTTACTAGGAGCTATACTGACAAAGAAACACAGATCAAAGTCTTAAATAGAAGCAGATGTAAGAATTAATCGATTTCCAACCCCATAAATGAAACTTAATATTAACTTTTAAAAATAACTCCAAACAAATCAAATCACTAACATGAGGCAATTTAGATGTGGCCTAACCCCTCCTTTTTTCAAGCGTCTGCTCTGAATAATTTTAGTGATCTATACTGTTCAGCCTGTTGTAGCAACAAAAATGAGTCAGGCATATAGGTCAGGATGCCTCCAGCTTAGTTTTTGTTCTTTCCACACACATTTCACACTTACTCTGTCTCACACTTTTCATATATTCCTGTTCACAACATTACTGTGTGCCCACGCATTTCTTCTCAAATCATCTCCATTTAATTCTGCACGACACCACCGCATCACACCTTCCCTTTACTTCGGCAGACTTAAAGTGTACTCATTCCTCTAGTTTTGATCTCCAGTTTGACCTTTGTTACAAAACTCGCACCCTAACAGCAGGAACCAATACATCACTTAAGTCATGTCCCACTTCGCTTTACGAGAGAGCTTCTACTGTTGTTGTTGTTGCCTTTTTTTTTTTTTTCAAACTGGTAAGAGAGAAGACGGTAAACATGAGAAATAGCAACAGAGCTTTACTTACCTTGAAAATACCAACCCAGTCTTTCTGATGAGGATGGATAAACTGGGTCAGAGTGTAGTGACATTCAAGGTGTGTGTTCGGAAGATAACTTTTCGCCACATTTTGAAAAATCACATGAGCAAAATTGGAAGTCTGCAAAGTGTTAGCTGAAGACGGAACTTCTTGAAAGGATGACATGATTGATCTGTAACAAAATTGTAGAAGTTGCTACTTCAATATAGTGGAAAAACGAGTTAAGTTAAAAAAAAATAATCTATTTGAAATATACAAGACAGAGAAACCTAACAATTAGTTCCTCTGTTCTGAAAACAGACAGCTACAGACCAAGTCCACCAAAGTGCACTGCCTCAGCATCACTCCAAAACAATCACCTCTCAGAATAAATGGGCAGTCATTTCAGCGATGACATCAAGATGGAGAGAAATCATTGCTTAGCTGAATGTCCCCAGTATTATATCTGAGATACAGCAGCGGAAAGTGGGAAATAAAAGAAGTGGTGTTAAAATTAAGCAGGGTTCTAACTTCATTAAATATACTGGTCAGTGCTTTTCACAGCATTTTTATCTGTGAAGTTTTTCCTCCCCTCTCAGTAAAAATAACAAAGTTCCATTTTAAGACACTTTTTAAAAAACAAGAAAGTGTATCTAAACAGGAGGGGTTTGTTTGGGGTTGGTTTTTTCCTTCTTCTTCAGAAGACTTCTCTTGCCTCTGTGTAGCAGTCTGCAGGCATCTTCTACTACTCTCACTGTAGCACACACACTCCCAGCCCCGAATGTTTAGCTTTATTACCATAAACAATGGACTTCACTGATAGTGGGAACATTTAGGTACGCATGCAGTTTGACGGATTAACACTAACCAGTTGGACTGCAAAAGCTTTTAATCATGCTTTCCGTTCACCACCTCATTCAGGATACATAGTGCTAAAGATAACAGCAATGCAAGATACTTCATAAAGCAGCAAAAGAATGTCCCTTCCTCAGATTCGGCAATATCTGCCAAAAATAGAAGATGGGCAACTGAGAAGTTTCAAGTGTTTGATTTCAACGTACAGTCACAAGTTCGTCAAAACATTTGATATTAGGAGGATTGGGGCCTGTTGTATCTAACACATTTATAGAAAGATGAGCCATCCTATTCTTGTACTTGCTATTAAAAGTAATTTTATACTGACCAAGCAAATTCCCACCTCGAATGAGGTAATTGTCAAGCGTGTGACATAATATGTTACTTTCACTGAAGATACATGTTGAAACCAATCCCAACAAGGGATGGGCCACTGCAAGTCTCCAGACATTAAAAGATTAAAGGCCATCTGTGTAGTTCCTACAGCCTTTTAAAATTTCATTTCATCAGTTAAAAAATAAGTAGCAAAGAGCTCATGTCTTCTGAAATAAAATGCACTCTGAAGTAAACAGGTATTCATTATTCAAAACAAAGAAAAGGTAAACAGGGATTTTTTAGGTTTAAGTCCTCAATGTTTTAAGCTTATCACTCCCCAGTGTAGTGTAACACATGAAGTACATACAGGCAGCCATGACATTATTTTGATGTGTGACATGTTACATAAAAAGTAGTTTTGTACCCTGAACAACACAAGTTATAAGATAAAATGCCAAGCTTGTGAAGATTAACAGATAGAGAAGACAAAAGCAAGAACTTTAGAAGACAAAAACAAGAACTTATACAAACAAGAAACTGAGTAAATATCAAAAGACAGCTTTTGAGAAACAACAGTGTACACATAAATCCTATCTGTTATCTAGCTTCAAAGCCCAGAAGAGTGTAGCAAATTTTACAGCATAGCAAAACCCTGAAAACTCCCACCCTCTCAAAACAAAGGGTTACATTTAACACATCTCTCGAATCTACTCTGAACTATAAATGGTATGAAGCAGCCAGCTGTTTCTACAATTCTAGAAAAAGAAAATAGAGCAGCCTTAGATTTTTTTTGAGTGCAACAAACTCATTCATTTTCAGTAATTCAGCAGTACCTGAAGCCAAATAACACTGACATGAAACAGACTGTTTCAGTTTTCATTACCCATGATAAGTACAAAAAGCATTAGCATTAGTAACAAAAATAACTGAATTTAACTTCTTTTTGTATAGGTCTACTTTAAAAATTGGATAGTTTATTCTAAGCACACATTACAAAAAAAAAAAAAAAACACTCCACAAAACACCCACCAGAAAAAAAAACACATCCATATCTGCACACTGGTTGCCAGCTACCATAGCTGAGTACTAGCCTTAGTGAAACCAGTAAAGGCAGACCTGTTTCCAAGCCCGAAGCAGAACTATTCACAAATCTGAACTTGTGCAGACCAGCAGAATCGTCTAGGATTACTGCTCCCCAGCAGGAAAATCCCCGGAGCTTAGGTGAAGCTGAGACCTATTTACAGTTCAAGGACAGTTTAGGGGATGCTGGGTGCTTGCTTACTTAGCTCACAGCTACAGGTTGGGGAAGGGGAGGGGAGGGGAGCGGAGAAGAGGAGGAAGAACTAATAAGACTTCCTTACTGACATGACAAGCGATTCCCTCAGGAGGCTGAGCGACGCGTTCGGCCGTACGCACCGACAAGGACGGAAGGAGGAGAAGCTCGCCATGCAGGAAAAACAACA